TATTATCATTGTTAATATTGATGAATTCTGAAAATAAGATGGGACGTCTTTGTCAAATTAATACTGGTGAAGGAAAAACAACAATTGTTGCTATGTTAGCTGCAATTAAAGCTCTTGAAGGACATAATTATTATCAAAGTTTAATTAAAAATAAAGCAATGGAACTTTTGAATCCACAAAGTGATTCAAAACATGCTCTATTAACCACAACAGAAGGTATTGCTAAGGGAATAGCAACAAATAAAATACCAGGATTATCTTCAGTATTACAAATTAATGAAGCACGATTAGCTTTAAATGAATTAGACAAATTTGTACCGAAATTTATTAATAGTTTAAAAAAAGAAATTGAAAAGATATATAAAGAGCAAAAGGTTGACGAAATAATTGAAGATCTCAACAAAAAACTACAAGAACAAACACACGTACAACAAAACGGAACTATTAACAAACAAAATACGATAAAAGAAGAAACAAATGGTAGTTATACGTCTGATTTTGTTGTAGAAAAATCCAAAACAGATATTGATATTTATAGAGAACAAAACGAAGAAAAAGTAATATTCGAACGAGAAAATAAAACTCCAGAAGAATTACGTAAATATTCAAACTGGTAAATTTGTTAAAAAATAAAAATATTTTTAAAATTATACATCTATCAATTAATACATTATTTAGAACATTTTGTTTTTCATTCTTTGTGCTCTTTTCTATTCTTGTTTTTGCGTCAAAAATACTTAATCTATATACGTGATGTGGCAAAATTGTGAATTTGACCAGTCAAAATTGCAATTAATATCGTATTGTTACGGGCTCGACCTTTACAACGTGTCTTCTCTTTTCTTTCATCTTTCTTTCCTTTCCGTGGACGTGATATCATTCCTTTCGTCATTCGAGATTATCCTTTCTTTGATGTAATATCTTTCGATTACATATCATCAACTCTTTGTTGTGTTCGTTCTCTCTCCCTCTCTTTTTCCTGGATGCGCGTGATGATATATATGAGAGACACGTAAGTTGAAAGTGTTCATAAAAAGAATTTGAATGGTACGTTTTGTTCCCCTGTCTTTGTCAAGTATTCTATAAAATTTAAAAAAACTAAAACTCATACTGGCTGAGTTAGGAGGGAGACAATTTTCAGTTTTTGCTATAGAGAATTTTTGGCAGGATTTTGCTAGAAAAAGGGTTGAAATAGATGTATTCTACATCGTTCGACAGAGAATGATTCGAGCACTACAGTGGGACTGTGGGCAAATGCGTCAAGTCGAAAAACCGCATCGCGTTTTTGTTGCAAAAACGGTACGAAAAATGGGTCTTTTGACGTTTTGACTCGAGCAAAAGTTGTCCAGACCTGGAAAACACTTTCGGCTCTACGGAGCGCCAGACATCATGTTATTTCTGGACTTGAATATTTCAAGTTCAGTTCTTTTGATTCTTTAGCGTTAAAATCTAAAAAGTCCGAATTTCGTTATGTGATTCCACTTTCAGAATTATCGATTATTTTTAGCAAAGACTATAGATGTTAGAGCTCCAAACATTAGGTAGTCAAACTCGCCGCAATCTGAGAAGTCAACTGGTGTACAGTATTGATGGTTTTCGTTTAGCTTTGAGTAAAAGTCTCACGAAAAAAGGTTGGTCTACATTTAGTTAAAAACAAAAGTCGGTTTACATTTTCCCGTATAATGTGTAAAAATAGTAAGGAACAAAATGAGGATTCGATGTGAAATTACTTTTGCTAGTACAAGTTTTGATGCTCTATCTAGTGCAGAAGTTTCATCGAGAACGAATGCATGCTTCATTATTTTTGAGCAAAACAAGTTGCAAAAAGCCAGTCTACATTTAGAGCGGAAATTGACTTCTGCAAGAATGAAAGCTGTTTTTATCTCTACCAAATCATGCAAACTGGATTTTCTTTAAACAGAGTTGTAGACCGACGTCTGATCTACAATTTAGCCACTCCAAAAATTTCTTCGGTGGCGGACTTTTGAGAAAAGCTGTAGGAGATTATATCTAAAGAACAACAAAAAAAAGTAAACAAAATTGAACACTAATCATATGGTTAGATTCACAATTCAATTCCCTACAGGATGCGCTGATCTCCTTTTCTTTTTATATCTTTTTATATAATCAAAAACTCAGTTCTCAGATGATGAGTCATCAGAAAATTAAGTTTTTTCAACTTTCGAGTCCCATAACTTTGCAACGAAAGGACGTATCGAGCCGTTTTTTTTTTGTGGAAGTGGGCAAAGTACTAGGCAAAGCAAAGGAAAACGTTTGCTCAAGCGAGCCTCTTGCAGCCTGGGTTATTATAGATGCAGAGTAATCGTACTACATTTTTATTAAGTTATAAATTCTCGTTTAAGAGATTCGATTTTTCAAATATTATAGTAAATTATCTAAACATCATTAATTAGACAGACAGAAAACATTATTACTAACGAACAAATGTCACTTTTTGCACTATTAACGGAATTGTATTGTACAGAAAACGTTTAAAATAAAAATGAAATAATCGTTTGAAGAAATCTGTTTTGTTTTTGTTGCTATTAACTCATAATCAGTTTATTAAGATCACTAGATACTTTGTAACAGATTTTTGTTTTCATCGTTGATGTCAATGAGATGCGTTCAGTTTTTGTTTGTTCAAAAATGTTTAATGCAAAATTCTGATGTCTATTATTTTGTGTGATTTTTTTTCTGTTCTGTTCATTATTTTTGTTTCAATATTTTATATTGTGTATTAGGATTCTTTTCGCTTTTTTTTGATTATTATTTGTAAACATTTCTAACCAAAGGTGGGAAAGTACAAGTCCGGACTTGAAGCATTTGTTGACAGACTTGGACTTGGAATCGAAAGTTTTTTATCAAGTCCGTTTAGAGTCCAGTTAGAATCTATCAAATTCAAGAATGAAGTCACTGTAATCTTAAACGTAACTTACTCTCTTTTCTGCTAAACATGTAATCTAATGTAACAGGTGGCGCACAATAAAACGGACTATTTTGTTTTTGCTCTAGCTCGGTTAGTTTTGGTTCGATCGGATCAATTTTTTACAAAAAGGTAACCCTTTGAATTCTCTACAACAACATATATGAGCGGGTTCTGCAAAGAACAGAATGACGCAACCGTTAAACAAAAACCGTTAAATAAATATAAACCGCAAAGAAGATCATCAACTTTCAAGCTCAAAATGAAAAAGTGTTTCGAATTTTTTTCCATATTGAAATTCAATCTCGTGTTTCAAGAAAATATACTTTCTAGTGCATCAAAGTGAGCTCCTTCCGATGGACTATTCCGAATTCCGAGAATAACTCTGGTTATATTGAGAAACAATTAGTTAACAAATTCTTTTTTCGGACTTGACTTGGACTTGGAAATGGTGGAACTTGTCCATCTCTGTTTCTCACTATTTCATACAGTCGTTATCATTCATTTGAAATCAGCCAGAAAAACTTTAATCAGATTTTCTTCTAGTAGAAAATGAGAAATGATATCACACTTACATATTGCTCTCTGTCCATAATCATTGTCATTATCTCATTCATCTGTTGTTAACCAGTTCTCAAATGAATGCCTTGGTTTTAGCATTGAATTAAAATTATTTGAATTATTTCTGGAATGATGGCGAAAATCGTTGAGAAAAGAACTAGAGGAAGTGAGTGAGTCGTTGATACGGTGAAAAGAACATGTTTGATGATTGAAAATTATTTGTTGCAATAACATTGCTGTTATTGTGAGGGTATTCGAACTGTCTGTGCCTGATCGTTTATGATTGTCTGAGTTGAAACAGCTGCACTTAAAGTCTCTACGTGCAGAAAAATCTTTTTTCCCTTATACAACTTCTAGGTGGAATTCATTGCCCGATACTGTAAAGCTAAATTGCTTCAGAAAACAGAAATTTAAGACTGAACTGAGAATCTATTATAATATCAATATATTTCATTATCGAATGTATGGTATTGATCGAATGACAGATATCTCCTTCAATCGTTTGCGTATGAATTTTCCACCACTAAATGCAAACTTGTATAATAAAAACCTTAGTCTCACTAATCTTTGTACCTGTGATGATATTGAAAGTGTTGATCATTATCTGTTACATTGTGTGTTGTATCGATCGCAACGAAATAATCTTGAACAGAAACTTTCAACGTTGGACTTGCCGCAACCGTTAAGTAGTGAATTACTCTTGCTTAAAATTCTTCTCTCAAAGGAACAGTAATTGATAGTGTATCGTAGTGTTATTGAATATATTCTTTCAACTAAAAGATTTATGATATGAAATTTGGTCTGCATCTCTTAGTACACTCGATCCTCGTCTTCCTTTCTTCTCCTTTTATGTCTTTTTTTCTTTCTGTTTCTTATCTTTATTATGTATTTGCATTCTTTCTCTGCTATCTTCCTTAGTATTTTTGTCATTTTTATTGGCTAGACAGGACGATAGTAATGGGGCTTTGCTCTCTTTTGACCTGTCTTAGTTATAACTATTTGTTTCATCAATAAATAAATAAAGTTTAAAAAAAAAATGATATTATGAGATTTTAAAGAAAACGTACACGATATTGGTTGAATTAAGAAATAAAAACATATTTACTAAAATTTTTATTTCAAAGATTTATTTTTGCAAATTCAAAATCTACAAAAAATTTTATAGAATAGAAATTTCAAAAACAAAAAATAATTAAAATCAAAATATTTTACTTGGTCTATTTGTTTTTTGTTTATTTGTTTGCCTGTTTAATCTGATGTAATAGAAAAACAAATGATTTTCTACGCATAAAAACAATCAACGAATAAAAAATACCAATGTATTTTTCTTTTTAACAGTCATTCATATAGTCAATACAATTATTTCATTTTTTGTCAATAATTTGGAAAATCATTGAAAAAATTTCTTTTTACATTCTGTACTATGTTTTTATTTTTGGATTGATCGATGTCGGGTAATAAGATTTTCGGCAATAGTACATGAGCATTGCCGAATTTTACTCGAATGTTGAACAATACTGTCGAAATTCAACTTTTTTGAGAAATTGTTCAATTGCACTGGAAGCTCAATGGTTATTAATTATTACTTTTGAGGCACACTCTTGTCTAAAAAAAAAATTATATACAAATTATATACAATAAATTATATATGCTAAAATTATATTGCACAATGTCCACTACAACTGGACAATTGCTTAAAACAAGTGGAACTGCGGCATTGCGGAATATTTCCTGTTGCCCGACATGTGGTTTACATTTTTTCTTTCCTTTTCTGTTGTTATTTATTATTTTGTTTTATGTTTTTTCCTTTGAAAAGAACAAAAAAGAAAAAGATAGAAAAGAAGATATAACAGAAAAACATGCGGAAGAAAAAATGAGTAATAACAAAAAAGAATTACGAAACAGAACACAAGATTGGGTTTTTCCCACTGAGATTTTCCACGTTTGTGAAATTACTATAGAAGAACGTATGGATGACACATGAAGAATTGTATGAGAACATCTTTTATTTGAGTCATTGCCTCATCATGTGTTGTGATTATAAACCAGCACACACAGACAGAAAAACACATTTTTTTTCTTTGTAGATCATAACGAAGAATAATCGAAGAAGAAAGGAAAAAATCAAAA